GGCGGCGCTCGGAGGCGCCCAGGGAGACTCGGCCGGCAGCTGGAGGGGACCCCTGACCTGTCCCCGGAGTGGCTCTGGGGGGGTGGAGGGCAAAGAGCGACAGCAGAACCCCATCCACGCTTTGGGGTCCATTCTGAAAGTAGCAACAGCTGGAGGGGGAGCGGACTAGAGAGAGGACCGAATCAGGGTTCTATTTCTGGGGATCATCTTTTGGGGAGAGGGGAGAGAGAGAGAGAGATTCCCTGAATTCCCACCAGCAGAAAAAGGGGCTGGAACCCCCGACGCCCCCGAAGGGACTCACCGAAGCAGCTCTCCGGAAGGGCGACCGCCACCAACGCCGGAAGCAACAGGGGCGCAGAGCGCAGAGCCATCCTGTCCGCAAACCTCCACCTGCGCTCCGCTCCCGTTCAGTCGCGGGCAAAGAAGGAGGTGAGTCCAGAGTGAGTCGGCGATTGGCCAGTAGAAAAAAAGCATTCCCGTGTCGTCTGTGGTTGCCGGGCAGACGTCCAGGGACCGCCTGACAGAGAGGCTGGAAAAGGGAAGCAAAAGTTCCCTCGGAAAATCCCCCTTGCAGGGATTACGCCTTTGGGGGGGGGGGCATGTGAGTGTGCTTTATTTTCCAGGAACTGGACACACCACAGAGTAGCAATTCTGCACACGGTGCTTTGTTGCAGCACACAACTTCCCCAACGACAGGCCATTGCTTTGGGTTAACTCCATCCTTCCTTGCAAGTTGCTGTTGCCCTGGAAATATGTCTTAATTCTCAGTCCTTTAATACTCCATCTGAACAAAAGTCTATACAGCGGCATACAGCCTTTGCCTCCCTCCAAAGGTTCTTGCACGGGTTGGGATGAGGGGCTGCCTCAGTGGGGCTGCTCATTCCTGGTTCTGCCCAGGTCCCAGCCGAGCTCCAAGCTCTGCTCTTAGGTGGTTTGTTTCGAGTGCTCCAGCTGAGCTCCCAAGCCAAGCTCCAGGCAGGAATCCCACCAGGATATGCTGCTCAGTAATAGCTGCAGATGTGCCTAGAGTTCCCCTCTGCTTGCTGCCCTCTTAGCTCCTTTTCTCCTACATGCCCACACACCCTCTGCCTCAGCTTCTGCTTTTGCAAGCTGAGGGCCTGGGCGGGGTGAGGCTGCCTCTTGGCCTCATGTGGAAATGCCAGGGAGTGAGTGGGTGAGTGAGTGAGTGAGTGAGTGAGTGAATGCACGCATGAGCCCATCTCTTCTGGGCTTTTCTTTGGGAAAACAGGAGAGAATATCTGTAGCTCAGGGTTGAACGGTGGAGTCCTTGGGGTGATCTGAGCTTGGTCGAGTCCTTGGGGTGATCTGAGCTTGGTCATTTTCTTGCAGACGTTTCATTACCCAGCTAGGTAACATCTTCAGTGCTAGAAGGGAGGGGGCTTTGCTCTCTGTTTCTATACAGTGGCTTGCCCTGTCAGTGGGGGCAGGGGTGAGTTTTGTTTTTCTGGTACAGTAGTTCCTTGATGAGGCTGTCCTTTGCTGCTTGATTGTTTGTCTCGTATTAAACTGATGTCAACCCCTGCTTATCTGGGTGTTGATTGCTGGCAAGGAGCTGTTCTGGCCTTTTTGCTTCCTTTTTATTGTCTCTTCTGAATAGTGTGTAGATGTTGCTTATCTCTGTGAGCCTGTGGATGGCTGCCTTGTCTGAGTTTTTCCTCTGGGAAAATGTGTGAACTGGCTGAGCCCAGGAGCAGTGGACTGGGAGGCCGTTCTGCCTGGCTGGAGCTGCTCTTCCCAAGCGCAGACAGCAACCCCAGCTGCGCTTGCACACAGGGCAGAACTGCGGGGCTCGAAAGAGCGGGAGGGCTATCTGGGACAGGGAGGGGGCTCAGGCAAGGGGGCAGGGAGGCCACGTCCCTTTAGACTCCATAGGGCCCCTTGCAGCCGGGGATAAGGTGGAGGTCAGAAACTCAATTCATTTAATGATGGTTCAAGTTATGATGGCCTCGGAAAGGGTGCTTTATGGCTCGTAAAGCACTTCTGGCTGTCGTAAAACGTCACGCTGTCCCCCTCCCCCACAGTCACATGGCCGCATTTCAGGTGCTTGGCAACCGGCTCGCATTTATGACCGATTGTCAGGCACTCTGCGATCCTGGGATCATGTGATCACTATGCGCAATCTTTTCTGCTGGCTTCCCCA